AACTGGACACGTTTAACTTCAATTGTTGACTTTTAGAAAAAAATCATTAGTTTTCATAATAATGGCTATTTACTTTAGTTTATCTTTTAATTTAAGCTTTCTTTTTATTCTGCACGACATCCGTTATCATTAGCACCTTTTTACAGATGTGCCTCGCTTTAATTGCATTTTACCCATATGTATTTGCGAATATAACGTTCATTAGTCTGTTGGTTAAATAGTGGCAACAGCTGAGTTTGGGATGTGAAAGGTTTTGCTGACTTGCAAATTCGAAATATATTTGCTTTGCTTTAAAACTAGGAAACTTGTAATTAGTCTGCGTTTCTTCCTGTTTGCGCAGACGCTAGCTGGCCTTGCAATTTCATTCATATTGTAAAATATTGTACATAAATGCTGTTTTGCTGACCTAGCGGACGTAGCTAGCTTTTGTTCCAGTACTTTTACTTTTTAAAAATAGCAACACTAACAAACTATAACCACCTCTTTTATTTGATTTCACATCTATTTTACTCTTTTGTTTTCAATGGTTATTCAAATCATATATAAGTAAGTTGCTTTGAACTGGTTTTTCGATTACATTATGAGCTAAGTTACGCTACGTGTACAAGAATAAACGCTGTTGAAACCAAGTTCAGTTTGCCTTTGCTGTACCAGTTAGTAGTTTGATCCCGGACCTCAAGAGAAGTGACGGCTCTTTCCCGCAAGCGAGTTGCAATTGAGTCTAGTCATTCCCCCAGTTAACCGATAGTTAAAGTGCCGAGTTCCCGTTGAGTGTTCAAATCGTTTTAAAGTGGAAAAACCTTCCGTCACATTTTGTTTACGTCCTCCACAAAACGTGAAATTCATAGTCGTGCAACGATGGCGTAGAAATGTGCAAAAAATTGTGATGCACTTGCAAAGTTGTTGTTTTGCCAATCTAACCTATTGCTTTTTTGCCCTTTTTTGGCCAATAATATCCATACCTTGTCAAGGGATGAGGTTATGAGAATTAATCAAAATGATCACTAAAGAGAAAATGCTTTGATCTTCTATCAAATTCTCTCAACTACTTCTTTAAAGAGATGCATAGAGATCAGTTTGGAGAATTGGTATGTGGATATTGGGACTTAATTTCCCTGGACCGTCTTCTTGCGTTATCTCTCCATCTGCAATACAACACGACTGTCACAGTTCCTCGCGTATTCCAAACCACCTTTATTTTCTGGAGCTTTTGCTTTTTTATTAATGTTACAAGGTTTTGGATGACAACCAAGTGGTATTTCATCCCATTGGCTGTTTTCCTTCTTTCTTTTGTCGTCATAACCGTCTGTACCTTAAATATATTTAAAATTGTTCGAAGGCACCAACGCGAGATAAACCGTCAAACTTTAGCTGTCATCCGCCTTCAAATCAACACAGTGAACATACTCAAATGCAGAAAGTCTTCTGTGACAGTACTTTATATTTACGCTTTGTTTTTAATTGTCTACCTTCCCTTCATTACATTGACGATTATGGAATTGCTGATCGGAATGACCAGAGCATTGGCAACTGCTTCAATCTATGCTGCTACTGCCGTTTTTATAAACTCTTTTCTTAATCCGTTTGTGTATTGCTGGAGAAGTAGAGAAATACGAAGAGCTGTAAAAAATATGCTGAAAAGACAGATGGCACAAAATTGATATGGCAAATGATAGGCACTGCAGAAATACGTTTTGAAGGCCCGATACAGTATTTTGCTGGTCAGCGTCATCGCCTTTTAACATTGAAAACACCGATAACTTTGAATTGGTTTTGAACGCGAGCCTGGTAGGCGATAAAAAACCCCAAAACTTAGAGCGAAAACTGAAAACTTAATCTTTAAACTTCGCCTCTCGTTTCCTTCTTCCTTTTCACACATTATATATTGTGCCAAAGACAAACTGTGCTTGCACCGCGAGTGAAGTTTTTGAAAGTAAGCGGCGCGATAGTCTTCGTGACACGATGATTGATGTTGTGTGCAAAGGCCAAAAACAAGCATATTTCCAAAGGCTGTAGCGTTGCCCTGTTAAAGACATACCAGCCTTCAAGTATGCAGAGCTGGTGAGCTGGAGCCGTTTGAAATGGTTTGCCAGCGTCACTTCGATTTGATATAAAGACAAAACGACCGCAGGTATTCTTGCCCTTCAACTTGGTGACACACTTTGAAGTTGCACGTTCATACCATCCCGTGCAAGTTATTTCAAACTCTATATAAAGCTGGTGCTTTGCTGCCGAATTACCCGTTGGTGTAATAAGTGCCGAAATGAAGCGCCAAAGATGTCAAACAACTGGCCAAAAGTGAGAAAAAAACCGAAAAGATCGCGACAAAAAAGCGTAAACAAGATCACACGGATGTAAGTTTTCGAATGACCATTTTTTGTTTGATGCTGTACTGAACGAAATCTATAATGAAACCTCAATTCTGGTTTATGTATAAAGGATAAGTATTTCAATGCATTATTTTTTGCTTTTGAGGAATTCTTTTTTCTATAATATTAATAATACAAAGTTTGAAAATTATTTACAAAGTTGTTTTGAAATTCTTTTTGTGTTATCAAAGTTTAAAAAAATTATTATCTAAAAGGCCAAATAAAAGAACATGAGGACAAGGCAAAGGGAAGAAGGTGGGGAAAAGGTTTTGACGTCCTTTCACACTGAAGTAACAAGGCAGAATGACACATAACTCTGCGTCCACATTTGATCAACAATGCGCTCTGTAGGGGGGGGGGGGGGGG